GTTTCCAGATGGATATGCGGAGCAAATTCATCTGGCGGAGTCAGGTTAGCTTGGCTCCAGGTACTTAGAGATTCACTTCCATACAGAAAGCCCATATTCTTACCTTCACCTACCACAGTATAGATGTCAGATTAAATAATGGTAATATCAAGGTGCTACTTTATTGTATCTCTTATACTATATCCATCGGTTGTGCTGTTCTTTTTACATCTCTTTGCGGGTGATGAAGCAGACTGAAGGTGTTTTATTGTTATCTCCATTTTATTCCCTCTTTCTTTCATCATTTCTCCTTTTTTGTTTTTTCCTTTCCTGTTATTCTTACATTGCAGTGTCCATAAAATCTGTAATACTCCCTGCATGAATTATAATAAAGCGATATATATGCTTAGATCAAGCGGAACACTATGGTGATAGCCGTACTGCTCCACTTGTGAAAGCAAAATCTGTTGGGCTCTTTTTGGCATCAAGACAATTATTCTTATTGCCAGATCACCAGACAGGACACTGTTAAAAAGAAAAATTAGAAAACTTTATTGCTTGTTTCAATATCTTTTTATTTAACCGACCAGCACCAGTGAAAGCCGTCCCTGTTTTCTCTTTTGTATAAAGGAACCTGATCTGGGTTGAACCTTAGTGGACCTGAGTTCAATAGAGGCCAGTGGTGTCTGTTTGCAAACTTGGAAAGTTTTTTTATACTCCTGGATTAATGTGTTTGATTCATAACTGATCAGAATGACTCCTCGTGATGTCCGTGAATCCTCTAGAGACCCTGAAATGTGTTTTTCATTCAAATCAGATTTGTGGAACCAGCAGCCGATTAGAGTTAAAGTCGGACTCCAGTAGCATTGCCTAGATAAGGCTTATAATCATTAAACTACGTCCAAATGTCAGCCCTTTTAGAACTGAAAGCAGCAGGGATGTATTACTGCTTTTAAAAACATAAATGTTTGATTTGTCCTTGTTTCTTACATTCCACAAAGTTGAACTTTAACAGAATATCTTATATCTGCTTCCCTGTAATTTAGAAAAAAAAACATTTAACTGCTTGGTATGCAGCCATTAAAGTTGTTTTGAATATTTGTCTGAACTCTCACTTCATAAATTGGTCTGAAGCCAACATTATGACCTTGATGACAGAGGCTTACCTAGAAATCATCCTCTCACGGTGCGGCAGATAATCTCACATGTTTGCTGGGAAATGCTTAGTCTCTGCATATTTACACACCCAGATATGCGTTACACGTATGAGGAGGGCATTTATTGTTTGACGTACTGAAGGGTGTAATACGAGTCAAAATAAAAACACTGCCTTGGTGTTGAACTGAGAGGCACACACCCTCTTTTGTGCGAAAAAATTTAAAAATGAGCGTCTTATTTTGGGCTCTGTTAACGTCACTCTTGGTTTGTTTCCTCAATTTGTCTTTATTTTTAAAGTGACCTTTGGAAAGACTGAGTGCTAGAGATTATGAGCTCTCTGTTACCACACTGAAATGACCTCATTATATGGCTTTGGCTGTCATCAAGCTTTAAGTTTTATCTAATGTTTGCTCAGTTTGTTTTTATAGTTTTGTAGCGAAGTTCAACCCTCGCTGTTTCCTCCTTTGCTTCTCCCTTCCTTAATTGCTCACTCTGACTCCTCAGGATTCAACATCCAAACTGGGATCAGATGTTCTCTTTTTCCTTGAAGTAGATGGTGTTAGATTACTATCCTGCTTCTCATTGTGGTGAGACGGTGTGTGACATTGAAACCTTTGTATGCTACCTGAAAGCGAGCTATTCTGTTGGCTTTGGAATGAGTTACCTGCTTTAATGTTTTAGGAGTCTTGATTATTTTACTTGAAAACCTGAATAATTATCCATTAGTTATATATGATGAAAGCATTACCCCACATATCTGGTTCTTATATTTTCCAACAATGATTCCCTTTGTAGGCTTTTAATGCTTGTGCTCTCTTGAAATGTCTTCAGACTTGGCCCCACTTCAGTACTGATCAGACGTCATTTTGAATGGAGTAAACTCAGACATCCAATAAATGCATCCAAACTAATAACTCTCGCCTTTTTTATTTTTCCTAAAGTGCTTTTGTTGGAAATGTGGACAACCTTGAGGTTTTACAAATTTCTTTGTGGCTTAACAAAAGAAAATCATGGCAAACCAGATTTCTCTTATTTTTACAGTGCATCTGTAGAAATAAGAGGAAAAAAATTTGAAAGTGTTTTTAATAACCTCCGGAAAGTGGCATTGGGAAACATTTGGCTTGTTTATTCATTTAGAGAATGGAAAAAAGTTGTTTAAAAAAAAAGCACTTTTCCCTGTATTTGACCAGGAAATCACCAGTAAGGGGTAACCTATGAATGGCCCCTAGCAGTGGTCAGATGCAGTTAAATAAAAGAAGTGGTGGGAAATTTTAATCAACCCAAAAACCACAGTGGTAGGCACACTTTGTTAAGCAGAACAGGCTAAAATTATTACAACCTGCTTGTTAGAGGAAGCAATACTCCTGAGATGCTACTGGATGCTTGCAAATAAAGTTAGCAGGAAAAATGATAATGGTGAGATATTGTCATATTTCCAGTGAAAAGCAGCTGTGCTTTTTTTTTTTTTAAATGATGGATGAAATAAATTGGGAGGTTATGTGTTTTACTAGGGGTGTGGGGGGAAAAAATCGTTCTGCCAATATCTTGTGATCGTGATTTGCCCGATATAATATCGATCTTTCACTTCCTAGTATCATTTTTAAGATGACAAATCATTTTTACCTAAAACAATGAATGAAAATGGACTACCTTTGCACCTCCACTCTAGCAGATAGCTCTTTGGAGCCCTTTTGCTGTGCGGCGCAGCGCCTTTATCTGTAGTTGAGGCAGTCACAGTAGAGGACTTGGACTGACTCAAACCCCAAACAACATGGATACCAAAACAACTAAATGATCAATATCTTCTGGTAAAGAAAATATCTATACATTTAATTTTGATAGCTGGGAAAAATATTGCATATGTGACCATGTATATAGTATATATATAGTATAGGGCTGAAACAATCCAATTAATCATAATCAATCGATTATTGAAATAATCGTCAACTAATTTATTAATGAGTCATTACCTGGATAGTTGAAACTCTAAAACATACCTTTAAGTGACAGAGAAACAGCTTTAAGTAGCAATTATAGCAAAATTGTAAAATAAAATAAATATTGAAACATTTAAGATATGCATAGTTTTCGTCTGTTCACACGCTCTGTCCAGCACTCCTCAAGAGGAAAATTTTTAGTTTCACCTGGTTTAATTTTGCAAAAAGCCTTTAATAAACCTTTGGCTATCAATTACTGAGAAAATGCTCAATAGATTAATCAATTTCCAAAATAATCCTTAATTGGAGTGCTAATATAGTGATATTGCGATATCGTATAGTGACACGTATCGTATAACAACACCCATGCCGATACTCACCCTTAGTTTTCACTTATGTAAGTTATTTATTTTATTGTTTTTTCT